CAGGGCAAATTGGAAGCAGTCCACCCCAAAAACTTGAACCTCCTTCAGAAATTGTGGAGACTACAGGAAATCAGCCACCACTTGTGCACGATGTTCTCGGAGGAAGAGTTGCCCAGTCGCCATCGCCCAAAGCATTTTTCTGGCTCGTAGAGCGGTGGCGTTTGCATATCGTTGCTTTTCTTCGGCGCGGGCAGCCCTTTCTTTGGTCAAGGTGGCCTCCAACTCAGCTTGAGCTTTCTCTGCCTCAGCTTGAGCAGCCTGTTCCCACTCGAGTGCCGCTTCTCTCTCCTTTAAAGCTGCTTCCTTCTCCGCCACAGCCACTTCTTTTACGGCGAGGGCGGCCTCCCTCTCTGCGAGAACCTTGTCCTTCTTGTCGAGCTCTTCATCAAGGGATTTAATCTTGACTTCGAACTCGGCCTTCTGCTCTGTCTGTGTCTCGCGGAGCTTGGTATTATGCTGCAGGAGAGTAGTGTTTTTGTCTTGCAGGAAGCCGATGGTGCCCTCAAGGCCCTTTATGGACTTCCCAGAGCTGTCTCGTGCCTATTTAGCAAGAGGCAAAAATTAGACCAAGCCCTGTAATCGAAGAAAATGAAGTAGTTCAAGGCATGGATAGCAAGAAAAAAGGATAGGAAAAAAATCGAAGCAAATGCAGGACGAACGATACCTGGGCGAGCCATTGGACGAGCTGGTCGCCAACTTCCGGGAGCGTGGTGCTGGCCTTTTTGAGGTCGTCCTTAAGGAGAGCACCCTCAAGGTGGTCGGCCACCTCATTCACAAGGGCCGATAGTAGGGAGGTAGACCGTGGGGCCAAAGGATTGGGTGGGATGTGGCTACCACGCGCTCGCTTCCAGACTGTTTCGCTTTGTTCAGTACAAGGACTTTTCCCAGAACCATCTCACGTCCTGAGTCATCCTGACCACTGGACTCGACCAGGGCCTTAGTCGAGCCAGCAGAGAGGCTCTTAGAAGAAGGATGGTCGAGAGGAGGTTTTTCTTGGGTTTTAGTTTTGGGCGAGGTGTTGGGTTCGGAAGACTTGTCGTTGGTTTTGGATTGAATGATATCTTTGGGATTGGGAGCTCAAGGGTCAGTCTTTTGGTGGCGGTTGTCGGTTTTTTTATGGCGGTCGTCAGTTTTTTGGTGGCGGTCGTCGGTTTTATGTTGGCAGTTAGTGGTTTTTGGTTGGCGATCATCAATCTTGGAAGTGTTCGAGGCCTTGGTGGTAGAGGCAGAGGCAGATGTGTGCTGAGAAGTTTTGCCGGGAGGAGGTGGAGGAGTTCGGTGTTGTTGGTGTTGCTGCGACTGTTGTTGTTGTTGCTGTTGTTTTTGCGGTTGTGGCTGCAGTTGTTGGTGTGGATGCTGAGGTTGGCGGGGAGGTGAG